AGTTTCTTGAACATTCCAGAGTGGTCAACTGTTGGTTTTTTTCTGAACATTCTTGAACTTTGTGCATGTCCAGAACTTTCCAGTAATATCATGTATTTACAATTTCTAGAATATTCTAGATTTATATTACTGTATAAATACCCTGTCAATTGATGCAGAGATAGAATTGTGTATAAGCATCATTGAGGTATTACTGGGATATAATTTCACTGGGACATTGTGTGCAGCAACGGACACTCTGATTTTATGATTTTTAGATTTTGCTAAGTTTGTATTTATGTTTCATATACTTATTATATATTACTATAAATAAATTATTGTTAAGTTTAAATTTTGTTATTGATCTTTGCTGGCATTTCGGGTAATTCTGACCCATAACAGAATAAAAAAATAATGAACTATTTTGGTGTTGAAATGATTTGTTATGCACCAAAAAATATCCATATTGATCTCAGCTTTGCCTTAGTCAAGAAGAATATTTTCACTTTTCTTGTGAATAACAAACCATATTCAACATCAAAAGAATCTAAAATTATGTAGTAATTTTGGTTACTGGAAAAAATCCTTTCACAAAAATATTGTTACCTAAAACATCTTGATTACATATATTTGATTTTCTTCACTTTACCACTGTTACATTCAGCCACAAAGATATCATCTCTGGCGTGTTCACATAAACCCCAAGGAAGCAGTAGGTCACAATACTTGATATCGCGATTACTTAACTTAGCGGAACTCTTTCGCGAAGGAGGTAGGAATCGTCCGTTGGGTGGGGGCAATGTGCTATTCAATACAATGCAAAGTCTATCATTGTAGCATTTATAAGGACAGATGAGTAAAAAATCCTGGTGGAATATCTCGCTAAACAATCGCTGAACCAGTCTAATATATTTTGAGAGGAGCCAATTCTAAATTGTCATATTTTTAACGATATTTTTAATTAAGCGGACTCTTCTCGTTAAATTTTCATTGAAAATTGTCACATTTTTAAGCAGATAAAATATTTTAAACTTTCCGTATTTGACGATCTACTATTTGAAGTTCAATATCTGGCAAAACATAGTGATTTCGGCATTAAATTGTCGAATCATTCGATTGTCACTACTGTAAACAATGTCATTTGCCCCCAGAAATGTAGACTTTTTTGACTTCCCCGAAAAAAAGCGGTAGTAAGTTAGATAACTGCGAGTTACTCATTGGTAGTCGCGATATTACGTATTTTTGTTGAAGGAACGTCCATCCTGATCTAGGATGTGGATACAGTGGTTGTTATAGTCTGCTGTCAAGATATGACTCTGGCTGTCTGTTGTGATGCCGACTGGATGAAATGATCTCTTGGTAGCAAAAGGATGACCAGTGTATCTAAATCGGAATTTCCCTGCCTGGTCAACCACTACTACTGCTTTGGCATCATAGTCAGACACACAGATATCCAGGTTTCTGTTCTCACTTATGTATTTAATAAAGAAACCAGATGAATACAGAGGTCTGCCTTTACTATCAAACTGAATGGTTTGCTTCTCTGTGGAGTCAGAGAAACGGACAACTTTCGATTGTTTGTTTTCATAACTGTCCATTGTAACCAGAAGCTCACCAGAGGAGGTACTACAGACATAGTAAGGTGTCTATCCCTGCAGTTTGATAACTTCCTGTATCCTTTCATTCGTCACTATGTTAACAGTTCGGGGTCAGTATAAACTAGATCCCCCACTCCTTGTCACTGCCATGTCAATTGACCGAGACTTGGTTTTGATTGACTTCCGTAGTTTGCCCTGGAGGTTGTAGAGTTTCATGATTTTGTCTTGTCCACTGGTCCAGATTTCTTCATCATCGATGCAGGTGACACTGTGTGGTGTTTTATACCCAGTGTCTATGGTGGTGATGAGCTCTGGTTCATCAAGCAGTGGTTTAAGTAGAGGACAGTATTCAGCTTCTTGTGTCTTCATTGTGTATCCATGTTCCTCTGTTGTAATGAATAATGCTGATAAAGAACCAAACATTTGATGGAGCTGTTCTGTGTTGATCTGAGGAAGAGAGAAATCTTGGAAGTGATACATTGATTTTAGGAGGTGGTCTTCTAAATCCAGCATTCCTGGATATGTATGTAAATATCAGAGATTCGTCATCGGAGCCCAGTATTTCCTTTAGGTAAGTAATGTTCTCTTCTAGCTCAGAAATCATTTGATTTATTTCATTTTCCTTCTCATCTAGAGCCTTCAGGACCCTAGTTTTTATCTGAGCAATATCACATTTTCTTTTTTTGACAATAATGTCTATTTCACTTTGCCATGCTTCACCTTGATTTGAAACAACAGTTGTCAGTTTCTCACAATGTTTTTCCAGATCAGCCTTTTCAGTCTTGATATTAAATGCAATTTCTGTATAAGTAGGGAATATAATTTTTTCTAGTTCTTTTAAATCCTGTCTTAAATGCTTTTGTCAGAGCTGAGGTTATGTAGAGTATCTGATAAATCGTGTCCTTTATGTTTACCAGAGGAGATACAGGTAGAACAGACAGGAATGTCACATTTCTCACAGTAAAGTTCACAATGTTTCTGGGTGTGGTTTGGACATTTTGGGTAGTTAACGTAATGAGTGGGTTTTCTGTGTTTGTATGGTACAACTTTGTGTCTTTTGGATGAATCAGAGAGATGCTCCCCTACACAGGCCTTACACAGGTTTATCTGACAAAGTTCACAATGACTCTGTAATGCAGCTTTTTGACGCAGGTCACAGAGGAGGAGAACTTGAGCTCTGCCCGAGGGTCCATCACTGGGGTTTTAGTAAGAAAAAAATCCGATGACCCTATAAAGTAAAAAAAGAGACATGGATCACTAACAACAGACATTTTACGCAATTTTTTTATAAACAAATCAATGTATGGGTTTTGTTTTGTTAGTGAAAATGTAAGACAGAGTCTGTTTAGAAATAACAGAAAGGATCTATTTGTAGTTTTAAAATGCCGAGTAAACTTTCTTCCTTGTCTTTAGTCTGAATGTTTATCTGGTAACCTGATCATGTGATTTAAATACCTGAGATATCTATATCAGCCGGTGTAAAGACGAATAACGACCCCATCGAATAATGACTGGGGTACACCCGTAAAAAAAAATTGTAAAAGAGCCCTAGGGGTCATTATTTTATATAATAGTCCTATGAAAAATTGACCCCAGTGAAAAATGACCCCATTTAAAGTGATATTAAATTTATAACAAGTGAAAGGAAAAAAATTGCTGTATATTTTAATTGTTCTACCTTTCTCTCTGCCGAAATATTGACAAATCAGTTTTAAGCAATTAATCAATCGATTAATCTTCATTTCTCTTTAAAGGGGCGAACCTAGAAAATCAAAGATGGTACATGTAAATGGATCGGATCAAAAGCACGCTGGAGATGAAATTAATGATTTATTTTTTTCTTTCCTGAGTTCCATTGATACGTTGTTTAAGAAAAAAAAATATTTGTGTGAAAAAGTAGAAATCTGTAGCAGACGAATTATTACATATATGTATCGGTGCATACAAAAAAGTAAATTATTCGAATTAAGATGTCATTCGGACGAGTGAGTAAAAATAGAAATGGATACAGGACGCCTCGATGCTGTATATGTTTATATGTTCCATTCTATATACAAGCAACTTCACTATATGATTAAAGATATTTGAAATTTTGCAAACACAAATTCGTTTTATACCCCCAAGAACATAACGTTAAATCAAAACCCCCAAAAAATGAAAAGCAATATATATATATATATAATTATATACCTTTAATAATACTGAAAGAGGATCTAGATAAAATATTGAAATGAAGTTAAGCCTTAACACATTACTATCATATCATAATTTACCATGATTAAAGCATACTTCAATTGTGATGGGGGTATGCATGTAAGTATTGTGGCAAAGTAACAGCTGAAAATTAGTAGAATAGTAGATTGTTTTAAGGCTATTATTAGTTCCTCCTTATTGAACAATAAAGGTAGGGTAGTTTTTTGTTGCTTTCGTTGATAATCGATTTCCTCCTAAATAAGTAAAGAGGTGGGGTGGGTATAACACCTAAAAATATGCTCTGTAAAGCTATGGGCTAGAGTAAAATACACATTCTAATGCAAAAACTATACATGTACAGTACCGACCAGACCCAACCTGACACAAAGCAGTCCCAGAGCAGTCCCGGGGACTGCTTTCTGGGACTGCTAAAGCAGTCCCACAGCGGAGCCCAGAGCAGTCCCACAGCGGTCCCAGAGCAGTCCCAGAGCAGTCCCACAGCGGTCCCAGCAGTCACAGCGGTCCCAGAGAGCAGTCCCAGCAGTCCCAGAAAGCAGTCCCATCAGTCCCAGGTTTATTAATTTAATGGGCGGAGCTAACTCAGAAATGAGATTTCCAATAAACAATGGAATTATAAAAGGCAGTAGAAATTGATTCTGGGTAGTATGCCAGGAATCCTTACATGTACACGAAGGTCATTTATGAACAGAACATGTACACGCATAAAAATTGAAATAATTATTAATGATATTTATTTGAGGAAGAAGGCTTTCACACTTATATGAACATATATGAATTACACTGAACATGAATATTTAATCACAATTCTTGGGTACATTAATACTTCTTCTGTGATTGATACTGGTTCCCATGTTTATTTTTTATACAGAAAATTAAAAGTGAATTAAATATTTTCCACCAGAAGAGCTTTAAATAGATCTTATCATTATATGGCAAATTTAGACTATCGGGTACTCTAAAGTTAGAGTTTTCTTAAGTATTGGGGCTTTTAAAAAAATCTTTGTTAATTTTGCCAAGTATTATTTTTCATTCATGGTTATTTTTACTGACATGTCAATTTAATTATCGTTAATGCTTAGTTCTATAAAACTCAGTTTTAAGTGTTTATTTGTAAATGTTAGAGTGTACATTTGTAACTCACCAGAATGGAAGCTTCAGATTATGTTCAAAATTAATTAATCCCGAAAGAAATTTGTACACATTTCATTTATCACATTGTTTTTGCAATAAATAAATTGAAATTAGGGTCATCGTTTACCAGTATGTTCAATGATGTGTAACTCTGATACAAATACCCAAATAACATGAATCGATTTTTCTGCCCGAAGGCCATTGAAACAATGGGTGTTGATACCATCTTATAAACATTTATCGGCCAGGTAAACACTAGCAAAACAAAAAAAGAAATAAATCACACTACCCGGTATTTTCATTTTAAAAAAAAAAATAAATATACATGTACTCTTTTAATTATTTGTTTATTAATTAAAAGCTCCGGTAATTCATTAATTCCCCAATGATTATTCACAAAGTTTATGTTACGATAGAATAGTAGCATAATTTTATTTCATGGTCATTTAATAAATTGTTGGGTTTTATTTGAGGGCTACATGGAATACTCTTTTTTGCGTCGTCCTTATAAAATGTGTAGCATTTTTAATTTAAAAAAATCTTATATCTAACTGTAATGACTGCTTTTAAATAGTAGCAATGCAAATTTTGAGAACATATTATACATGTTATAATTTAACATTAAATAATTAAAAAAAGGCCCACATGAAGCTATTTTTTTCTCAAAAACTTGTAGTTTATTTTTAGGGATAATTTTTTTTTATTATGAATTCCTTATTTATCAACTTTATTTTTTTAATTTATTCTAAACTACACATTACTTAATTGTGTAAGTATACAGTCCCTGAAAATATCAATTAAAGTAGGGGCCTACTGTGGTAAACCGGAAGCCGGGATTAGCCGTTTTCGGTTTTAATATTATGGTACTTATAACATTAGCAAGAACGTAAACAATGTCTACAGAAGTGTTGGAGGGGTGTATAAAGATGATTGAGGGTATTTTTGTGCAAGGATTGAGATTTATACAGTATGAAAACAAGCGCGAGGTCGAATGTAAGTCATTTGAGATATATTTTACCTAGGATGTTATATTGATTATATTATACGTTTTGATTATTTTGGTACCACTCCAATATTTCTGATGCCTATTTAAAGAAAACGTAGCAAATAATTTGCTCTTATCTTTTCGTTCTTTGTTTTTATTTGTGCACAATTGGTATGATATGCAGATGGGATTTTCATACTTTTGTTTTGACGGCAAATTTTCTGCATACGAATGAAGGTATGCAGTTATAATTAAAAAAATCAACACAGGCTACTAATGTTGTATATGAAATTTTAGACATAATTTTGCTTGCATGACATTGTATATCTTGCTTATAATCTTTTGTAAGTAGTAATAGGCAACCAGGAAAGTCGCATTGAGTAGTAGTGGACATGCCCCCACCCCTTGTATATAAAATATTCTGCATTAAATGTGAGAATAAAATTTATGTTTATGATTAGGAACGGGGTACAAATTTTGTTAAAATTGTTCTTGTAAAGAATATTTAACTTTTTAGCTGATTTATAAATATTTTTGTTGACATAAAAGGCTTTAGCTATTAAACTGTGATGGGGGTACCTGTATGTTTTACCCCATATCTCGGTGAAAAGACAGATGACCAATAAAATAATCATGCCTAAAAGATACTTCAAGCATGGTTGACACAAAT